AAACTGCTGGAAATCAAAACTCTATTGCTGTTTGAAATTTTTGCTCCAAACTGTACTGGATGTTCTTCACATATTAATTTGTGGATTACAGAATGTTCTAGGCAAAACATCAGTGGGACAGTAAAACATTAATGCAAGAGTTCAGCTAACAAAATAAAACCACAGTGTTCTTCTATCCTGCTTAATAATGGCTCGAGTGAAATGGGGACAGTTGTGTGGTCTAGTGGCTAGTGAAGGGTGTGGTCCTTTGGATTCCTGGAGCTGCTTCCCAGCTCTTCTTTCCCATGCTGGGTGACCTTAAGCAAGTTTACCCCTTGCAAATTGGAGCCTGATGTCTGGCTAGGAAGCTTATTGGAAACTTAATTTTTGAGAGAGCATTTTGGGAGCTTGAGATGACAGGTGCTAAATAAAGGCACTTCTCTCTATTAAGTAGCTCTAAGAAAACACACTGAGATTCCAGATTTGTGACATTGGTACTTAGAGAACTCATATTTTGGCTTTTTATGAATTAAGCACTCTTCATCTGGAGCTGTCAAGAGATGACAAACATAGCTACTCCTGACCGTTTTGCTAGGTTGACCACTTCAATTTTCAGTACTTCATTTTATTAGTGTGAGAAGAACAATGGCTTAATTTCTACGTCAGCGTATTATTTTGGATTTAAACAGAACTGTGTTGCAGTGGTTTTGACCATAGCAAAAGGTGCTCTAGAGCCATGGCGTTAACATAATCATAAATGGGAGTGGAACAGGTTGGCTAATCCTTGCTTTCCAAGTTGAATGTAAGGCATCAGTGGGAGGGAAAGTGAACACTATGGGAAAACTGCTAGATCAAATGTAGACTGGATGTGTGAGATAAAAGGGTTACTCTGCAGAATACCGCTGATAGGACTATTAGGCTAATTCTGCAGAACTGCATCTGTTGAAAGGTGACAGCAAACATTTTCCTGCCTCATGGAGTAGTTAGAAAATGAAGTTGTAAAATGCTATGATTCTGTGGTAGTGGGGGTGTTACAGGTAGAAAGAAAGATCTGTGGACTGAGATCCTGACGGAATGCTCTTCATACAAGGTTACCTTATTTGGTTCTCTACTGTGAATATTTGTATAACAAATAAAACCTTTTAAACATCAGCCTATCATCCCTCTACCTCTTACAGAGCCCAGGTCCAAATGCCTAATCAGAACTTCCCAGAGCAAGGTGTCAGAGGGTCTGATTGCTTCTGTACAATGAAGTGTGAGCCAGAGCCTTCAGGAAGGAAGGCTGTCATACTCAGTGTAGTCTTGCACCAGAACTTTGCCATCGGATTTTGCTGGAACTGGATCAGGCTGTTACTCTGAAGGCACCCACAATCAATCAATTTCAAGCCGTGCCCTCATCTATGGCCAGAACAAATAAAGATTTTTCTCCTCCTCCCCCATATGCATAAGTGACATCATGTCATTGGGTAAGTGTTGCTTTATTGTCCAGCCAGCAATTTGTCCTGGCTTGAAGTTTGGTAGCAGTATTCTGCACAGCATGTACTGTACAGGACACCTGGAGAATATGCTTTGCATTTGCACGTAGTTGTTACATATTTAGGTAGAAGAGAAGCGAAGATTGCTGATCTCTGTGTTAGGCAAGCTCATGGGTAATTTAGTGATTGAGCCTTCAGTGTATTAAGACTGTTTTTGCAGATAAGCGTTCCCAATATTGGAATTTAGGCATTACATACTTCTAATTAGCTCTTTTCAAACCAGAATTGCACTCGATCAAGCCCAGTTTGATCCAAGCTGACTCATACCAGCCCACTGCACCTGTATGAACCTCTTGCATGTGGAAATATGGTGTGGGATTACAAAGCCAAAATCCTACTGGAATATCGTGCAAAGGAGTGCTGTGATGTTTACCCAGTGCAACTGTTAATGAGTGATGCCTAATATCATGCAGCTCTCCTAGAGGCAAGGATTTCATTTACATTCAGGTTTATTTAAAGTGTGCTAACACCTCTCATAATTAGGCCCCATTGTCTTGCCACACCAGTGAAAATGGAAAGTAGATTTCTTACAAGGATTTCTGGAGCTTGAGCAATACATATAAATAATATACACAAGCCATATTTCAGGGCCACTGGAGGAAGGAAAATAATTCCCTTGTGACCTTATGATCAGAAGGAGCCATGACTTACTGCATGGCAGCCTAGTTTATCAAAAGGAAGATACGTGTCCAGTTACACACTTTCTAGCAAGAAAAATGCTGGGATGAATGTATAAGATGTTGGCTCCGTGATTATTTAATGTGGCCTAATGCAGAACTAGTAAGACAAACTGGTTTTCTTTGGAAGACAGGCCAGGATACTGGAGAAGAGTCATGGACAACGGTATGTGGGCCTGACTGATGCTGTCACACCTGGGGCCTCTCTTCTGTGTCAGTGGGGATCCAGCAGTGTGTCCAGCCAGAGCCACCCAGCCAAGTCCTTCCTGTGGTTTGGGTCTTGATAACAGGGCCTTCTTTGAGAGTCCTAACCTCAGTTCTTAGCAGGAGATGTTCCCTGAATCCATACTGCCTCAAGCTGCTCCACCTTCCCCTTGTCCTTTTCTTTATCACTCAACTAAGAGATGACCCTAGGGTTGTCTGAGGGAAGCAGAGGTGCACTCAACTATTCAGTTGCTCTTCGTCTTTCGTGCACATTGTTCTATGGCCAGGCAGTGACCTGGGTCCTGGAGCACTTTCACCAGGATAATGGAGAAAGTTCCCTTGCCCTCCCATCTGGCCAAGGTTTTACAAAGCCCCTAAGACTTCCTTCATGAAGACATGATCTGACTAGTTCACATTTACGCACCAGTTCATAATATCTCATGGAAATTATCAGTAGCCTAGGCCTCTGCAATAGACAGATGTGTTACCATTTTGCAAATGTGGAGTTAAATAATTCTATTCTATCATTTAGAAAGCTGGTGATAGGATTATGGCTCTAGAGTGTCCGACTCTCAAATCTATGCTCTCCTATATCTATCTTCCCCCAGACATTATTTAGAATAATTTCTCCTTCCAAACAAAAAATAATTTTGGGAAAGGCAGATTCCCAATTCTGCTATGAAATGTCATCTCCGTGATAGTGATGATTATGGGATACAGCAAATGCATACATAATTACTCTCACAGCTCACAGAGCATCAGAGAGGCCTATTTGCTGCCTCCTGAAATATATAACCAAAGACTTTTCCTCTTGCTGTCTGCTCTGTGCATTTTCATGAGCTCATTCCCTAGGGCTTATTGTGAAATTGTTCTAATTTTTTCGAAGTAGGGAGAAAAATGAAATAATTCTGTTGGAAATGGCATTGATTTGTCTGTGAAGTCATTACAGCTGTTCCTCTCTTCAATGAGTAAGACAAGGAATTCCTGCTTTTTTTTTTTTTTGAACATGGAGAGGTGAGAAGCAGTCTGACACTAAGAATGAATTCTGAGAATGGTTCTGAAAGTGCTTTCATGTTACGTATGTGAGAATGCACAATAAGTAATAATAAAGTTAAGAATTTTCTGACTTTCAGATGTGTGGCTTGGTCTGTGTCAATAGTTATAACAGGATCTTGGTGTAGGGTAATTTATTTGATGCAAAGGGTTGTGTTTGACAGCCTGAACTTGTCAGCCTTGAGTCACATAAGGGAAGGCTCAACAGAATGTATAATGCAGATGTTCAAATAATAAAATGAAAAATACCCTTCTGAACTGTTCCATTAAATAAGAAAATTAAAATGGCTTAACAAAACACTTTTCTGTCCCTGTCTTTTAACAACAAACTGAAGGTCCAGCGTGGAGTCTGAAATTGCTCATCAAGAGAAGGAACTGGGCTAGGATTTAGCAAATGGCTTTGTTATTTATTTATTTGTTTTAAATAAAGCAATTAGTTCTAAAGGGAACATGTCATATGCTGTACATTGCGAAGGTAGAACAGTCATTGTGCTGTTTGGCACTCCGTCAAACTGCTCCTTGTGCGTAGTTATTGGAGAAAGTGCATTTACACGTACTGCCGACGTCCGATGCCGGGAAGAGGTTTCTTAAATAACAAGACACAGGCTATTATGTGCATTAGCTTTATTATTTTTTAAAAGTGTCTTAGCCCTTGGGGACTGAAGGTACTTAATAATATGTTGCAATTACAGCGTGCCAATGTGTTGTCGTCATATCTCAGGTGCTTGACAATCAAACAAGTGCAAATTAACCTTTAGTTGTCTGTCGAATTTCTAGCCAGGTGCATTTATGGCCAGAGCTCACAATGCACCCATAGGTCAGTGAAGGACAGCGTACATCTATTGTCCTAGTGTGTGACCAGAGACTGTCTCAGGAGGAATGTCCTGTTCTATCCCCAGATAAGCGTAGTCCATATCAGAGATGTTTTTTATTAGGATGATGTGACTTTCATAGAGATGTATGGGGTGCATTGGAGATGGAGAACGATCAGAGGGCTTGCACCTTTAGAAGCACGTGCTTGTAGAGATGATGTGCAGATGATATAAACGGAAGGAAGGATAGAGCACATTCCCAGTCCCATATTGCACAATTCTTGTATCTTCAACTGAGGTATTATGTTCCTTCAAGGTTTCAAGGAAGGGGTTGCCAGAGACAAAAGAAATGCTGCATGAGTAGTTCCAAAGTGGGGAAAAGATGAAACATTTGCTAGCTTGTTATTAGGCATCAGAAGCAAGAAGAGAGAGCTTATTCCTGACAACCCCTCAGAGCAACAAGAATTGTTTGTTTTCTGTGGGAAAATGGTTTCTGCACCCCTAGAAAGATGGAGTGGTATACGGCAACCTGCTCAGCCAGCAACAAGCTAAAAGCAAATTCTCAAGTCACAAAACTCACTGGTGGGGAGGTTTAGTAGTGAGTGACTTTATTAGTGCTGTAGACAGGACCCAAACCTCTCACAGACTGAGCTGTTCAGTGCATAAATTAAGACAATATGAAATAACTTCTGCTTGGTGGGGCTTTTGTTTATTTTTTTCCCTCTCTCTGCCATCCTCAGGATTGAAGGAGGTCTCAGAAGGGAAGTCAAGGGGCTGTCCTGTGGAAACGTGGCAGGAGTATCACCCTGAAGGCGTGGAAAAGATCTCTGCCACCTAACCAGGTACAACGTGTCATTCATCTTTTGTGCTCTGGTTGTTGCAACCGTGACCCACCAGTATGTTTGGGTGTGGAGGAAAGGAGGCAAAAGGGGATACAGATGGTCTCTGTAGGTAATAGACAGCAAGAGCTCAAAGCAGACAGCCAGTAGGTATTTAGTAGGCAGTATCGAGTGGTTTTGTGTGTTTTTTTTTTGTTGTTGGAACTTGAGTACAACTTGGAGGAAAGTTTTCATGTCTGAGAAATAAAAAGTTTTAAAGGCTAGATGAAGAGGTAAAGTAAATGCTTGACACTATCTGAGATGCTTGATGGCTGCTGCTGGGTCACTACCGGGGTTGTGGTGAACTGACTTCTAGAGTTGCAGCAGCCACAGCGCTTTTTTTTTCTTCCTGAAAACATCTTACAAGGAAGTTTGCCTAGCATCCAGATCTGTCACTATTGTAACCTTTGGGGTAACTTCTCTCTGTGTGGTGTGAAATGTGGTGATGGTGGTCCAGTGGGTAAGCTGCAATACTTTGTTCAGGGCGGAAGCAAAGCTGCTCTCAACTGAGTCGAACGTTGCACCTGCAGCCAAGACAGTTGTTGAAAGCTGCTGGGCCTGGGATTTGTCCTTTATGCAGCAGAAGTACATGAATTCTCCTGAGCTGTGCAGACCATTTGGTAGCCAGTGCTGCCAGTATTTCCAGCATACATGTATGCACTACAGGTAGAGTTGTTAGGAACGCTGACGAAGCTAATGCCTTCCTGTCAGAAGCCTGTGTTTTCAGGGGCTTATAGGTTGCAGTTGACTGCTTCAGCTGATGCCTACTGTGCAAAATCCCATTCTCTTCAATTTTGGTTTTGATTTTATTTTTTTTTTCTTTTTGTTTTGGAAAGTTCATTTAAAGTGATTCAGCGGTTTTGGAGAACAAGACTGGAAATTGTTTGCTAATAGCACAAATAAGCTTAATTGTTCTCTTCAAATTCTGTATTTTAGAGCAGGATCTTGGATTTCAGAGGAGAGAGGAGTTCATAGGGTGCCCATGGTGTTAAGGTGGTGGTGCCTTGTACAGCATATGTATGGAAAGCTGTGTATTGCTGAAGTATAAATCTTCTCTCCGTCTCTCCCCCTGCCTATCAAAAGGAAGGGGAAAAAAAATATGTTTCAACATGTTCAGTGGAGCCTGCCAACAAATCCTCCTGAGACTTCCCTCACTGAGATGGGAATAGGGGTGAGGCTGAGCAGGTCTGCCTTTGGTGTGGTTTCTGCCAGCTGAAGGGAGGTTATGGTGGGGCCAAGCTCTGGATCTAGGGTTGGGATGTGTCAGTCAGACGGACGTGGCTAGGGCCTGGCAGATACTCCCAACCACAGCACTAGATTTAAATTTCAGAGCCTTGTTCTTAAGTGTGGAAAACCCATATCTTAACATTTTGTTTGGAAAAACTGAATATAGGCTACACGGTTCCCATTTTTCTAGTACATGTTACAAAAGCAAACGACAACAACAACAGAAACAACGGTTCCTTACATGATGGTAAGACACATCTTCCCTAAGCCTAGGGAGAGCCCTTCTGTAGGCTCCTGTTCAGAAAGAAAGAAGAAGGAATTTTGCTGCTGGTATCATTATGAACAGGTAAGCCTCCAGGGTTTATGGCACATCTCCCTTGTTTGGCGCAACTTTTAAAGAAATGGGTTAGGGAAGAGGAAGAATGGCTCAGTGCAGGAAATTACCATGGATCCCATCATGAAGAGAACTTCCGTGTCAGAGGCTTAAATTAAACTTCTGAGGTTCTTAATTCACTGATAGGACATAGACTGAAGGAGGCCTCCATGCTGCAGGCTGCAGTAGTAGATCTCTGGTTTCCTCTGCTTGTAGTCTTGAAGAAAAAAAAAGTCCATCTTGCACCATCTCTGAGATAGTTCATTACAGCTTCACAACTTTGCTTGGAGCAAGAATTCTTCTAAGAGCTTCAGGAAGCCACTTTCCTTCCCCTCATGCTTCTGGAATTCAGGACGAGGCTTGCTCTTGAAAATGTTGGTTTTCCACAGGGTGATGTTTCTGGGTGTCTTGTTGGAGTTCTGAAAGCTGCGATTATGTCTGAGCTTTGTGGTGTGACTGAAAGAGCTGATGAGAGCTGACCACTGAACTCAGTGTTGCACTCAGTATTGGCATCATTCTAGCTCTTGGCTTGCTCAGCACGCAAAAAGGGTGCTGCAAGAACACAAGGCAACTGTCCATGTTTAAAAGGATTCAACTGGCCTGTAAAGACATCTGAGCAGTGGAAAGAAACCCCAATCCCTCCCAATTTATATAACACAAGGTGGAAAATTAAAGCTGTGAAGGATTTTTCCTTCATGGGATGAAGCATGGGTGCCTGGGAGCACAGAACAGTGTCAGTGGGGACGTTCAGCTCCAGCTGGGAACTGGGTGCCACGTTCATACCTACCGTACAGGTTCAAACAGATTTACTCAGCTGTATGACACCCAGGGTGCTACCAGCTCCTTGGCTCTACCAGCAGCCAACTCAGCAGCTCCCTTCTCGAGTGGGTTTTCTTCCTATGTAAAGGTTCATACTGAGTGGGCTGCAAACCTGGGGACTTGGCCTTCCTCTTCCCACGATTCCCATTGCTGTGTTTTGTTCTGGGACTTCCCAAGACAATGTCTGGGTGTTGCAGGAGATGTTTGTGCTCTGTAGAATGTCTTTTGCTGCTTGTGCACTGTGGGATTGAGGTCTTGCTTGGGAGCTTTGTCCTTGTCTCTTGATCATCCCTAAACAAGTGACTAATGTCTTTTAAATGGTTTGTGGGAAAAGAGGCCTTTATGGGGAAGCTTGATGATTAGTAGCCCCGTGCAAACCATCCTTGTTCCCCTTAAAAATACCCTAGCTCCCTAGACACAGAGCAGTCAGCCAGCACATCTTCAGTGCCCCTCCTGCCCCTGGTGTGGGCAGAGTTGGAGAGTGCTTCTCCCCTTCTTACTGTGTGAAATCCCCAGCTCCTCTGTAAACCCGTTTTTCATTTGAGCATTATTTGCCCCGGCAGTGTGAATATGACTTGACTGAGAGACCTCCTGGGAAACTAGCTCTGCTGTCTCTCTGTCTTCATTTGGAGGCTTGATTCCTGGGAATGTGCTTAGAGGGAGAGTCTGAAAAATGCCTTTTGCCTAGCAGTGAAGTTGTTGCCCAGAAATGTAAAGCCAGCGTCCCAGGGGACTGCTGAGCCATAGTGCTTTATTCCTGGAACTGCATGAGGCAGTTCGCTGCACATGGGAGCTATTTCCACCTCGCTGATACGGGCTTTTAGGAAATTATGTGAATGCCTTCATGTCTGAGCAACCTGGAGCTCTGGATGCTCTGGCTGGTGGTCACTCATCTGTGAAAATGTGAACGTGCAGTATGGAGCATGCTCCTGTCTGCTGTCTCTGGTAACACATGATGGGGAAGAGGGGGAAAAAGGAAACCTCGCCATGCACCTGGCAGGCAGTGCAATCCCTTATGTGATGTATGTGTGGGAGCAATTCCTTTGTGACCCTGGTGAAGATTGGCTCATGTCCTGGAGAGCAGGATTTAGATCACTTTTATCTTTATTCTCCAAGCTGCAATGATTATTAATGGCTATAAAATGACCCAGCTGCAGCATTTGACTTAGTGACCTTCGGTAACAGTGAATTTTGCAGGCTGGCTGTATAGTGGGGGTGGGGAAAGCTTTTCCTTATTCTTCAGGAATGTTGGAATTCCTCATAGAGATGTCATGCTAGAAAAGAGGCCTTGAGAGACTGTTTGCTTCACTTACCAGCACTGATCAGAGCAGCTGAGCTGTGTGATGTCTTCTGTGAGCAGGACAGAGGAGGGATGAAGAGATCTCGCCACATTCACATGGAGCAGAGTGTTTATCCTGCAGCACAAGGGCTGTCTTTACACAGTATTTCTGCACCTGTGGTTTCATTTCATATTTTAAAGTGCTGCAGTTGCCTGTGCGTTGGTGCTAACCTGGTAGCTCTGGGGAGTGAAAGCCTCTGAACCACAGACTGATACATTGCCAGGCATCTACACCTTGTCCTGCACCTCTGCCCCAGGAGCTTAGGCCAGTAAAAAGTCCTTGGCCACCCTGTTTGTTCAGCCTGCTCCTCCAAAGGCCTGGTAAGATGAACATGAGTATTTTTGTGTCATAGGCTCTGGGCAGAGGCCTCCAAGTCATTTGGTTGTTCATGCCCAAGTAAGCAGGGGAGAGCTCTCACTGGCACTGAGCAGATCCATGAGCCGAGAGCAAAACCTGCCCAAGTCATTTAGTCTTGTTGTACCTCTGGTTGCGTGAAGTCTGTTGCAAGAGCTAAAAGGTGCACTTTGCAGCCAGCCTGGGGAGACACGGCACACTGACTGAAAATCCATCTCATTTCGTACTGACCTATTTTGAAAGAGTAAATGCTGCTGCTTCGACTCTATTTACGTGCTGGCTGTCAAGTTATAAGAGCAGCATTTGACAGTGCCGATACTGCCGTTTGTATCATCAGACAATCACCAGCCTAGCAAGAATTTGTAATTTGAATAACAGCTCATGACATTACTCTTATTATTTATTTCTGGCAGAACAAATGCAGCAGCAACTTTCTTCCATGGCATCAGCTCCAAATGTCTGTGGCATCCTATCAGCCAAGGCTTTTTCAAAAATCCAGCCATACTCCCCCACATCTTGCTAACTTTACAGTCCCCCATGGCATCTGTGTGCACTGAACTGAGCTGTTGAGACTAAATGTAATTTGCAATCAGGCTTCTGTTAACGTGGAAATGTACCGGCTGCTCTCCTGCAGTATGGATTCTCATTCTGTCTAGCATATGGTAGCATTAAATCCAGTCTGGAGTGCCTCTCTTTACCACACTGTCAATCCTTGCAGAGTGGAGAACCCTAAAAAACAAGTGAGTGAAATACATTTCAGGAACTGGCTGTCTTCTAGCAGAGCTTGTCGGGAGCTATCAAAGGAGACCATACCTTGAAAACTAGCCCTGACAGCGAGCTGAGCGAGTACA